ACAATTCTGTAAAGTGGAACTAAACCATTCTATCCTTTACAGCCAAGGAAGCTGCCATCTAACCCTCTGTTTGATCTGCAGTTGCCATGGTGCTGCACATGTGACCAGTTATGACATCAACCATTTGATGGTTTGACAGTTTGGTTGAGAACACAAGCAACTGACAGTTGTCATTCATGGCATGCCTTAAATGTAATTGTTTTGGGAAAACGTTAGGTCAGTATGTTTAGTTCTGCTTTAAAACTAAATGAGTTAGTGGCACAAAAACATGGCTGACAATGAAAAGTCTTGAGATACAAAGCCACTAAAACTCCCACCACCTTTGTTTCTCTGATTTATAATTGACTGAGCTAGGGGAAAAATTATTGGCCAAAGAGAGACTGCATTGAATTGGATGCAGGCACTTTGGGTGTTCAGACAGCCCTGCTACTTAAATACAATAGATGGCAGAGAAGGTTCCTCCATTGATGCTGTTTAGCATTGGTGGGGGAATCAATTGGTGTCTAACCGAGTATGGCTAGCCTAAGATACAGTCAGGTGAACTACCTGACTCTCTTTCTGGCAGAAAGTAAAGAGAGCACAAAGCACAATGATATTCCTAAATATGTGTTGTACAACATTACACCTCAATGTTTTCTTTCCAAGAAATGCCCACAAGCTATTGGTCCTAAATTGAATTTGTTAAAGTCAGAGTCTACCTAAACTGGCCATTTTATTTTTGGGTTGACACCAGATACTTTTCCTGCTAGATTCTTTATTTAACCTAGCTTATGAAAAACCTAGCAGGAGTGATAGTTCCTTGCTTGGCTTTACAATGGCTATAGCAGCTGACAGAGCTTAGATCCCTCATTGGCAATGTGCTTGAGAGCTTGGCAAAATATCAAGTGCCCGCGGTCTTCCACTTTGGGTGGATTTAAACTTTAAAAGCTCGGTAGAGAAGAGCCACATAAAGGAGTACAGTTTTTCCACCTCAGCCTTTCATATGATCTTCTAAAGAGCGGTCAGTTCAGAAAGAACAGCGCTGGCCTTCCTGTATGAAGCAAAGTCTGCCACAAGAGAGTAGGGTCATTCTAGTACACCCTTTCTTTTCTCTGTAAACTAAACGTCCTCATCCGTTATCGTGTACTTTCTTTCCTCTGTGAGGTATGCTACAGTTATGTCTATAAACACTGTGTACAGTAACCTTGGACTGGAGACAGAGCAAAATAGAAATCCAGGCACAAGTTACACCAGTCAAGGTTCGAAAAGTACATGTTTAGATTACACGAGGAACGCTATAAATATAACAACCCGTAAAACCAGAGGCTAATAGGGGACATAGCATGTTTTAAAATAGTCATATGTATAGCCTATTCTGCTCACCTAATCTGTGGGCAGTCACTAATGAACTGCATAATTGTATACCCTTTGTATGTCCTTCCCTTGAATAGAAAAAAACAATCCCCGTTTAAAAAACAAGCTTTTATGTTCACTACACAGGCACCATTTATATGGAGATTTACAGAGCTATATATAATAGAAACGTGAGAAGTTAGGCAAGATAACTTATCAGATTCTTTGTTTCATTTTCAAGTCAAAAAAAGATGAAATATAATTGGTCCTTATGGGCACCTTTTTTTCCCCCAAATAGCCCTTCTTAGAATAGGCTAGGCTGACATTGTAAGCTTTTAAAGGCATGGGAACATTATTTGTTCTTAAAACAATCATAGAATACCATAGGCAGAAGGCTATTAACCTGATTTTTCAAAAGCACTGTACGTAAATTGAGCATTGTGCAAAGAAACAAACAAAGGGTGCACGGGCCTAGTGCATTACCTTCTAAAAATAAGATTTGTTGAAATAAAAAGTAGTATACTCACAAAAGAATAAAATCAAAGGCACATCACAAAAAAAAAAGGCTCGAAGGAAGAGGTTCTGCCTCGAAACGCGTCAGACATTTGGAGGCCTACAGTCCCCCAACAGCCACCATCTAGGGAGATTGGACCATGCTTTCTTTTTTGTGATGTGCCTTTGATTTTATTATTTTGTGAGTATACTACTTTTTATTCAATAAATCTCATTTTTAGAAGGTAATGCACTAGGCCCGTGCGCCCCGTTTCTTTGCACATAGCTTTTTTGGATTTCCTTGGTCCGTTGAGGGCAGCAAGGCTTGCATTCCCAAAAAGTACTCCATGTGGGGTTACTAACATTGTGGAGCTCATCGTCCAGCGCAGGCGTTTCAGAATTCATTTGCTCAAGCTTTTTTATGTAAATTGAGCATTGTTGTGACTTATGATATTTGCCTAATATATGAGACTTGTTATGACCAAAGTCATGAAGGGTTGGGCAAGCAGATTTTCCAGAGGGTGGGAAATCTCTCACAGTCTTGGTTGAAGGTGAGATTTGAAGTGATGATCACTCTAAACAAAATCAGTAAATGTTATTACCCATTCATGTTGACTCTAAAGCAGGCCATAGAGGAGTTGAAAAACTGAACAAAAAATTTCTGTTGATTTTGTTTGAATTGTTCATTTTTCGAATCAATAGTGTGCCAGCTGCAAAACACGATTTTCATGCCACAATCAAAAGTGCCTGCTCCAACATGCTGGGTTTTGTTTTTTTTTAGAAAAAGGAAATAAACATGATGGCAAAATTGTATGAGCTATTTTCATTTTTTGGCCAACAGAACATTTGGTTTTCTACTCATCTATGGCCAGCTTCACAGTACTCTTCCTGTGTTTTCAAGAAATCTTCTCTTATGATGCCTAATTTTAGCATTTCATTAGCACAGCTTTTGAGTACCAATAGCCACATACAGCTTACATTACACATTACTAACACTTTTTATAGTGATCTGCTTTGATACTATTGTCTTAAATAGCAATGCTTGCATCCTGTTTGTATCATGGCAGCACCGACTATGACTGAAATCTGGTATTGAGGCACAGCCTTAAAGTGGAAAAGTGAAGAAAGAAATATGAAAACTGCCAAATTATTTTTAAAGGCTTAATGCATGCAGCAGTACTATCAGCATATGATTTTTTTTTCTCCCCTCAACACCTTTGCTCCTGGCAGGAAAAAAAACAGCTTAAAAAATTTGCCTAAAGCAGCATTTTGCACGTGTTTTGGGTACATTTAGATGCACTTAAGCACATAAAGCATTTTGGACATTCATTTGTTCTGTTAACCAGAATATTAGGCACTTTTATGTGTTTTTACACAGGCACACCAATAGTTTTTTTTCTTCTCAAGTGTTCCTCCCTGGAACACACAAGTGATTTTTTTTTTTCAGCGTCTAAATGCTCCTGTTCTGATACACTTGTAAATGCCTATGTGTGCATGGCCACATAGGTTAAACAGGTTTAGAGGCTCTTAGATTGTAAGCTCCAAGGAGCAGGGCCCTCCTAACCCTCTTGTATTGAACTGTATGGTCTCCCTGTATACTGTAAACTGCTGAGCAAACTGTTGGCGCTATATAAATCCTGTATAATAATAATAATAATAATAAAAAAGGCAAACAGCTGTAACAGTTTTTTTTTTTTAAACACCTGAGGCCTAAGGTTCTCATCAGCCATCCTGATCCTTTCCTCACCACCTTGTCCACTTTAAGCCTGGGTTCACACTTCTGCGGTGTGGCATATCGCACGTGATTCGCACAGGAACTGCACCGCATTCCTGTGCAAATCACATGCAAATTCTGTGCGGTGCAATTTGAGCCATACATTTTGTATGGCTCAAATCGCACCGTATCAGCACCAAAAAGGTGCAGGACTTTTTTTTTTTGTCTGCACTGGAATCGAATCACATGGGTATTCACACCCATGCGATCCAATTCTGCACATCGCACTGTGTTTTGCGAACCAATTTCGGGGTGTCGTTAACTTAATATACACACCCGCAGCAGTTCGTACGAACAGGGTGCAATTGTGATGCGGTGTGGAATTCCCGAGTTCCGCACCGCATCAGTGTGAACCCAGGCTAACATGCAGTAAGGCTTTACTCTTCAAACAACCTGAAACAAAAGCAGGATAGGACAGCATGGTGTTTTGGTTATTTAGAAGGAGGTTGTGGAAGGTAGAGACCTTCCATCTAAGACTGCAAAGAATTTGCAAAAAAAATGCATGTAATAAAATTTGATTTTACATTACCATATATCTATACATATTTCATTGCAACATTCAGGACAGTTAAATCACACTACTACATTTCTTACTTACACATTGTACTTACAAAACCACACCCATTTAGCCAAGCTTGTCTTTCTTTTCGGAGAAGTATGTATGTATAAATGAATGTATAAATTTTTATTCTTTTCCAGATTGTTCTAAAAGAATGACAGTGCATGTACAGTATAAACACTGGCAGTGCAATGTTCATTTAGCCAAGCGCATTAAGAGAACGACGGAGAGATAAAGGAATTGGAATGACAAGACTGTGACATTTTTAGATTCCATAGCCAACCCAACCCTGGGCCTGTTTATCTCCATCAATGACACATGCACTCCTAATTATGCTGAGCAAAGAACAAACAAACAAAAATATTTGAAATTTCAGATGTGTGTATTAAACAACTGTGTAAATGTATTGGCACTACTAATTTTATTTCTATTAAATCATCATCGTGCTAAACTCTTGAGGTCTCTCCTTCATGTTCTCAATATATATTGTTTGCCCAGGGTAAGTGTTTATTTTAAATAGCCTAAATGTACTGTATATGTAATGGCCTTTACACTCTTTTAGCTCTGCTGCTGCTACTGCAGTGTTGCTGACTACCACATCAGATCAAAAACCCAAGAGCATACTGCTGCAGCAGAATCTTGAGTCATGATTCTCTGTGTCTTGTAGAGAAATCATAAAACCTGCTCTTTTTACTATCTTCTTTAGAAAAAAAAAGAAAAACAAATGAGGGTATAGTCTTGGATAAGCAGTACAGTGATTAGTGGAGCAAAGTCTGACACTGATAAATACTGAATATCCTGTGACTTATTAATAAGGAACAGAGCTGTGTCATGGATTCTCACCTGGAAATCTGCGAACGTACAACAGCTGCACATGATGAGGATGAGCACTCCATGGAAGTGCAGAGGTTTCATTGTTGCTCAGCAATGGGATGCAGCTGGTTTCTCCTCTGACACTTCCCTCTGTCAGGATCAGCTGTCTGCTCTTCATTGAAGTCCTGCAGCACCCCCAGTCCTTAGGCTGCTGTTTGATGGAGGGATCCTGTACAATTAGAGCCTTTAGTCAATGCTGATCCTTGCAGAGAGTTGGAAGCATTATCCAGAGAGGTGATATGCAAGTGCAGGCTAGCAGAGTGTGAGAGTGTACCAGGATCTCAGTTCCACCCACACAGCTACTATAGTTCTTAGGCAACCACCTCCTTCTCCTGACCCACCCTTGTATTCCAATCCTTCTTCTCCACCCTCTTCTTTTACAAGAGTCCAAATCAGTAAGGATTAGTGAACTAGTGACAATTCAAATACTTAGTAAAGCTATGTGCTACTATATCAAATTATGGATTGGCATTTGTCCAGCTGACTCTTTTGTCATTGTATCTTCCGACAGTCCCATACCACACAGCCTAGCAAATGCACATCTTGGACAATTTAAAAGATCTCTGGAATGGGAAGTTTAGGATTCCATGATGCCATTCATCTACAACTGGGCTGATATAAAAGAAAGCAATGTGCTCCTTTTTTATTAATACTGTATGGTTCATGTATGTCTATGTCTTAAGCATAAAGAAAGGGAATTAAACCATTTTTTCCATTTGACCTGACTTGCTATGGGGACAACAATGTATTTTAGTATACAAAAAGGAGAGAGGATAAGAACACAAGTATTGTTAAGCTTGGAAACAATGTCTGCTGTTAGGCGCATTTAGTCTATTCACATGCCTATTATAATCAGCCTCCTCCATCCATCGTGACCTGGTCCATATCTCACGGTTGTGATTTTCATTCTAAATAATCTGAATTCATTTCATCCATTCAACAATTGTAACAGTTGACATTGTGGGTAAGATTTACAAGAATTGTTTTCTTAGTAGGTGGTTTAAAATCGCACTCACATTGTGCTGTGACAGGGTACAAAGTTCTCAGCAACACTCACAGGGATAAGAATGTTGCCTTTGCAGATTGCTTTTTTTTTTTTTTTTTTTTTTTTTAAACATTTTGATAAAGCATGTGTATAGTACTGCTTTGACTGAGAAAAATGGGCTAGCAGACCCTAGAAAGTGTGTCCTGAAAATGTAACTGTTTGTTTAAAATAAAAAAAAGAAAATCATGGACAGCACTCATCTCACAGGATGTAAAACAACACTGAAACAAATGAACTAAAATGTAACTAGGCGTGACGGTGTTTTTTTTCTTCTAAAACATTCCTCTGTTTCATTGTTACAGGGTTGTTTGCCTAGTAAAATGAGGACTAAGTACCTTTATTTAAAATAATAATCTTTGTATGGCGTCTGGTTAATAGTGACTTTTGCTTTATTGCAGTGTTCATCAGGGCAGGAACAAGGAATTTTTTTCGTTCTTTTTTTTATTTATTTACAGGTCCTTTAAATAGGAATCATACATCAATATTCATATTACATTTAATATTACAATTGTCAGTCAGCAATTGGTGGTTTAATACAGCCACCCTACTGTAAGAACAATTTTATTTTACCTACTATGCTAAATAGCAGCATTTCTCAACTTTTTTCAGTCCCCACCCCCTTGAAAAGTACCCAAAATCTCAAGGCACCAAAGCCTGTAAAAAGTATAAATGTTACCATCAAAACAGAGCCTCGGGCAATTTACACAACCGCCTTGATGAAATCAAAGTAACTAAGGCTAAGCTGTTTTTTTTCTTTTTGGACAGAATGGAGATGGATTAGAACACCTATTAGGTATTTATTGGTGTCTGTGCCCTGTTAGGGAGATTTACCCTGTTTGGCCTGTTTACAATTATCACTGAAATTGAAAATACAAGAAAATCCTACATTTTGGTGTGTCCCCAGAAATGTAAGAGAGGAAATCTTCCAATGGGCATACTGGTTTTGCTGACCTGGGGGGCCTCAAGGTATTCCCTTGATTTGTTGGGATTTCTTCTCACTTCCAGTTTTGACTATGGATCAGGAAGGGAAGGTAAATCTCCCCACTGGGGCACAGAGGGCAAAAAAACTGTAGGGGCTATAACCTTCCCTTACTCTATCAATCCAAAATGAAAAAAAAAAAAGGTTTTGTCTATAGTTCTACTTTAACCTGACATCAGAAGCCCCCTTCACATCAGTGCTCCCTCCATCACATCAAAAGCCTCACCATTCCAATTAGTCCCCTCTCATACATGGCCCTTCTTTTGCAACCAGAACCCTACATTATGGCTTCAGCAGCACTGCATAGGATGGTAAGTGGAGTAGGTTTGGGTGGACATGGATCTTGAGTTGCCATGTTGTGGGCAGGCCATACCAATATTTGACACTGTGTCCTGGCCCTAGAGATCTATTATTTTCGCTAATGAACAATTGACTAGTATCCCCACCAACAGCCACACAATATTCCTCAAGATCTGGGACCTGTGGATCACATACTGTCACCCAACTCTCTCTATATAGTACTTACTTACCCCTTACCAAGAGCTCATGCAGTAGTGGAGAATCTTCTGTATTATGCCACCCTTCCTTTTTCTCTCCTTTCTCATAAAAGTAGCAATCTTTGCTTTTTTTCCCTTTTCTTCCACCTCACTCTCCACCTCTCTTCTACAAACTTTTAGTTGGTACGTAGCCAGAATTATTTTCTCTAATTTCACTTGCTTTGTGGTCCAGGTTACAATACTGCTCGTCTTGTCTTTTATACTGTATCCTTAAAGCATAATAAAGGCAAAACCTTTTTTTAATTTTGGACAGAGAAGGGAGGGATTAGGACCTGTCAGGTATTTATTACTGTTTGTGCCACCATTCCATGCACACTGTGCTTAAAAATAAGCCAGTTCTCGTGGCAGAAAGAAAAACGCAGTTTAGGGGAGTTTAGTATTTTTTCTGCCAGAAAGCTCCAATCAAAAATGCAAACCAGAAGGGGTTTTTTTTTTCCTGCCTCTAAACATTGAGCTTAAAATATGCCTCTATGTCCTAATGTGCATGGACACATAGGACAGCATTGAGCTGCTTCTACAGGCAAAACACAAAAGTCCTGTAGAATCAGGGATTTTTAAGCCAGTGTGCATGCAGCCTTAGGTTTACCCTCTCTTTTTGTCCTTTTTACCATTATCATTGAAAGTGTAAGTAAAAGAAAATCCCAAATTTTGGGTTATCACCAGAAAAGTAATAGAGGTGAAATCTTCCAATGGGGACACTAGTTCTGGTGACCTGGGGGTCCCCAAGGAATTCCCTTAATTTACAGGGATTTCTTCTCACTTCCTGTTTGGCTATTGGACAGGAAGTGAAGGGAAATCTCTGCAATGGGAAACAGATGGTGAAACAAAAAATCTGACAGGGGTTATAACCCCACTCCCTTACCTTATCAAAATAAAATAAAAAAAAGTGTTTTTATAGTTCTACTTACCTATATAGGTATGAACAATGGCATCCTGCTATCTACATTGTAATTCCTCCTTTTTACTGAACCCTAATTACTGTAACATTGGTTTATGGACCTTTTTACATGTACCACCTGCTGTTTTGATGCGTTAAAACCAATAAATACAGTGGGGCAAAAAAGTATTTAGTCAGCCACCAATTGTGCAAGTTCTCCCACTTAAAAAATATGAGAGAGGCCTGTAATTGGCATCATAGGTAGACCTCAACTATGAGAGACAAAATGAGAAAAAAAAATCCAGACAATCACATTGGCTGATTTGGAAAGAATTTATTTACAAATTATGGTGGAAAATAAGTATTTGGTCACCTACAAACAAGCAAGATTTCTGTCTCTCACAGACCTGTACCTTCTTCTTTAAGAGGCTCCTCTGTCCTGCACTCATTACCTGTATCAATGGCACCTGTTTGAACTTGTTATCAGTATAAAAGACACCTGTCCACAACCTCAAACAGTCACACTCCAAACTCCACTATGGTGAATACCAAAGAGCTGTCGAAGGACACCAGAAACAAAATTGTAGACCTGCTTGGTGTGAACAAATCAACTGTGGGAGCAATAATTAGAAAATGGAAGACATACAAGACCACTGATATTCTCCCTCAATCTGGGGCTCCACGCAAGATCTCACCCCGTGGGGTCAAAATGATCACAAGAACGGTGAGCAAAAATCCCAGGACCACACAGAGGGACCTAGTGAATGACCTGCAGAGAGCTGGGACCAACGTAACAAAGGCTACCATCAGTAACAAACTACACAGACAGGGACTCAGATCCTGCAGTGCCAGACGTGTCCCCCTGCTTAAGCCAGTACATGTCCGGGCCCATCTGAAGATTGCTAGAGAGCATTTGGATGATCCAGAAGAGGATTGGGAGAATGTCATATGGTCAGATGAAATCAAAATAGAACTGTTTGGTAGAAACACAACTCGTCGTGTTTGGAGGAAAGAGAATGCTGAGTTGCATCCAAAGAACACCATACCTACTGTGAAGCATGGGGGTGGCAACATCATGCTTTGGGGCTGTTTCTCCGCAAAGGGACCAGGACGACTGATCCATGTACAGGACAGAATGAATGGGGCCATGTATCGTGAGATTTTGAGTGCAAACCTCCTTCCATCAGCAAGGGCATTGAAGATGAAACATGACAATGAGCCCAAACATACCGCCCGGGCAACAAAGGAGTGGCTTCGTAAGAAGCATTTCAAGGTCCTGGAGTGGTCTAGCCAGTCTCCAGATCTCAACCCCATAGAAAACCTTTGGAGGGAGTTGAAAGTCCGTGTTGCCCAGCGACAGCCCCAAAACATCACTGCTCTAGAGGAGATCTGCATGGAGGAATGGGCCAACATACCAGCAACAGTGTGTGCCAACCTTGTGAAGACTTACAGGAAACGTTTGACCTTTGTCATTGCCAACAAAGGATATATAACAAAGTATTGAGATGAACTTTTGATATTGACCAAATACTTATTTTCCATCATAATTTGCAAATAAGTTCTTTCCAAATCAGCCAATGTGAT